CCCCAAAACCCCAAAACCCCAGCTCACAAAATTAATATATAGTCTATGATTTAATTATACTTAATAATCAAATAATTTATAATGAACGCCTTTGGAGGTGCTTAAAAAGTTCAGGTCAGATAATTTGCAAATTCAGGATAAAATAGTCCAAGACCGAATTAGTCACACGGAAGAGGCTGAGGAGCGAATTAGAATCCTTAAGGAGGAGGTGGTTCCGGCTATTAGGGAAATAAACCGTGGAGGTAACATAGTCCCAGTTAATTTCAGCAGGAATAATAAACTCAACAATATAGACCTAAATAATTTTAGTAGTAGCAGCAGTAACCAACGCCATTTCAATAATAAAATCAATTCCCTTAGTAATAATAGCAATAAACAGAGCAGAATTTTAAAGGAGGATATCAAGGAAAACCAAATAATTTTAGACAAAGAGGAGGCAGAGGAGGTTATGATAGTGGTGGAAGTGGAGGCTATGATGGAAATGAAAGAGGCCGAGGAAGAGGTAGAGATTTCCAAGGGAATTAACAAAATAATTTTGGAAGCTTCTAAAATAAAGGAAGTTATATTAGTAGAGCTAACTAGCAAGAGTAAGATGAGATGATCGATGATTCAACGAATCAAATCCAGCCCCAAGCATTTTAACAAATTAATTCGTCAGGCTTTGGGAACACAAATAATTTTAATCAACCATAATAACAGAATAAAAGCTAGTTCTATGGGCAGCAAAAAGGTGTATAGAACTAAAGTTACGGCTAGTAAAATCAGTTTAGTAACTACAAAGGTTAAAACTAGCAATTCAAAGGAAATCAAGGAGGATAGAATCTAGATATGGGTATGAGAATGGATTAAGATGACAGCAACTAGAAATAAGTGATTGGAGGATACTTTGGTGCTCAAAAATAAGTAACATAATCATTAAGCACGAATCAAACCATAAATAGTGGTGGAGGATTTAGTGGTTAAACAGGCTTCCCTATGTAAAACAATACTTATGATCAGAAGTCCTCAACATAATCATTCGGCTAGAATTAATCTATGACATCAACAATGCAATCTACATAGCCAGGCTAAAAATAAGAACCTTTTATCAATACTGATCCTAATAAAGTCCTGTACTTCACTGAATAATAGTTATCTCAATTCTCAAATACTCAATGCAGGAAAGCAATAATGAAGGAAAATGCTAAAGGCCCTATGGATGAATTCGGATTTTTTTCTTTAGCTTTCAATTACTATTATAACCCACAACTTCCCAATCAAGATCCCAATTTGGATTATCTCCCATCACCCTAAGATGTTTGAATAGATTGAAAATCACTGTTTAATACAGTTTATACTAATTAGAGTTTAGAGTTTAATTTAAAATATTTGATTACTATTCATCATTTCACAAAGGTTATAATTTTCATATTTTGACAAGTCCTTCACTTACTATTTGCTATTTCTTCTATTCCTTAATTTACATTTTTTTCTCATTATGAATTTCCATATCAATTTATTCCACTAGATCTTCTCCTTCTTTCTTCATTTTATCCTCTAAATCCATAAGATAATTAAACATTCTCGTGTTTGTTCTGTGAAGAGAATTGACACAGTTCTACAAGCAAAGCTTCTCAGTCTTATTAATATTCGGCTCTTTAAGGTTCAGGCATCAAGGCATACAAAGCTCACTTATATGAGTCAATGAAAACCCAATTACTTAAGAGCTTTTTTCTTTTCTCATTTTTTTAATCTGTTTCTACTCCTCTTCTCGGTTCAAAGGTTTATTTTCCATTTCGATTTATTTAATTTTGTATTTGTGAATTTGTGATTATAAAAATCTATCGGGGTTTTGGGGTTTTGGGGTTTTGGGG